GGTAACGGGTCGGGCCGGAAAATGAAGGGTGTTCAAAAGGACGACGGTGAGTGGGGGGAGAGTGAGAACGCAGATAAAAGGCGGTCACTTTACTCGCTCGACCTTGTGGAGCTGCAGAGAAGGAAAAGCAAGCTGCTTCAAATGCTTGAAGAGGTACAATAAATAAAATTATTTAATCGTTAAAAAATGATAATAATAATAATAATAATAGCATGCTCCACACGGTCTCTTCTTGATTTGATCTTTGTTCATATAAGCACAGGCAGTTGAACTTGTTTCTGTACTTTTCAAAGACCTTTCCATTTAATGCCTACACATGGAGGAGACCATTTGGGAGCTTTATTAAAAGCTTTTTTACAGATATTAAAACAGAATCCCTCTTTTACCTGTGTTCATTTTCAGGCCTCAGAAATTTCACTTCAGTATTGATATAGAAAAGAAAAATAAAAAAGAAAAAGAAAGAAAGAATGATAAAAGCTACAATCTTTATGTATCTAAATTTAAATTTGTGTGAAGGTGGAGAGAAGGTACAAACACTACTGTGACCAGATGAGGGGCGTGACATCGTCGTTTGAGTTGGTGGCTGGGAATGGGGCTGCGAGAGCCTACTCGGCCTTAGCTTCCAAGGCCATGTCCCGACACTTCCGTTGCCTGAAAGATGGGATTTTGAACCAGATTAAGGCCACCAAGAAGGCCATGGGCGAGAAGGACAGCTCGGCTCCAGGCACAGTCAAAGGGGAGACACCGAGATTGAGGATTCTAGACCAGACAATCAGGCAACAGCGGGCCCTACAGCAGATGAGCAACATGGAGATTCATCCCTGGCGGCCCCAACGCGGGCTTCCTGAACGTTCAGTCTCAGTCCTTCGGGCCTGGCTTTTCGAGCACTTTCTCCACCCGTAAAGTTTCAACTCTTAAATTTTGATATATTCATGCACTTGCATTATTTGTTGGAGTTGTTTGTTGTCATATATGTTTGTGTGGGTTTCATTCTGTTGCACACATAGGACCCATGTACATGTTTGTACTCTTTCATGTTATATAGTTTCATGTCACATAATTGGAAAAGAACAAAAGTACAAGCCTCATCATCATCCTTATCATCATCTTTTTTCAGTTAGCTCTGCATGTTGAGTGTTTGATCAGTTTTTGTCATATGCCCATGAAAATCTCTACAGGTATCCAAGTGATGTTGATAAGCACATTTTAGCCCGCCAAACGGGTCTCTCCAGAAGCCAGGCAAAGTCCCTTTCTCTCTTTAGTCTTTTCTCAATTATATATAAATAAATAAAAAACTAAAACACATGCATACATACATAAAAAGTTGGACATTTTTATGGAGAAATGTTACTGTCCCATTACGGTACCATTCCGTCGCGATTTATAATCGTTTATAACCGTCGATGATAGTTGATCTAACGGTTACAAACTCCAACGAAATGGTTCCGTAAGGAACCATAACATCTCCCCATTTTTATAATCTTAATTTAAGTTTTCAATTAATTTAGGTTTCCAACTGGTTCATAAACGCAAGGGTAAGGCTGTGGAAGCCCATGGTTGAGGAAATGTACTTGGAGGAGCTCAAAGAGGACAACCCACAAAACGACGAGGGCCCGTCGGTCAATCACCACAGGCCCGAGGACCAAAAGCCCACCGACGACCAGCTGGGGCGGGTCGACCCGGGATCCCTCTCCTCCGTAATCGGGCGGAGCAAGCAGCCCCTCCAGAGCCCGGAATTCGGTCGAGTGGGACCCACGGGAGACTCTTTCGGGTTCGGGTTCCCGCCGTCTCATGGCGCCGGAGGGGTGTCGCTGACGCTGGGCCTGCACCAGCACGGGAATTTACCGTTTTCTCCCTTGCCGCAGGGAGCGATGTTCTATGGGCGGGAGCAGGGTATGGAGGAGTGCCAGGTGGCGGTGCAGTATTCGTCGTCGTCGCTGCTCGACGGAGAGAGTCAGAATCCGCCGTACCGGAATCTGATGGGCGCCCAGCTGCTGCATGACCTCGCCGGTTAGTTTTAAAAATGTGGATTTATAGTTAATGAGGTTGTTAAGGATAATTTAGAGGTAAAAAAACATGGGATATTTTTTTTACTTCTTTATTTACTCATTATGGAGGTGAAATTTTGGAGGGGGGTTTTGTCGGTGAAGTTAAAATATGGGGCATCATGAAAAGGGAAGGGGGGTTGGTGATGGTGACGGGAAAACCTTATTATATATAAAAATTTGGTACATGTGGTATACAATTAAAATAGTTGGGATTAGGAGGGGTGGAAAAAAAAAAGAAACAATTTTATGTGCAATTTGGTGTTTGGTTTGTGTTATATACAAATGAAGGGTATTTGGCTATTTGCTTGGTTGTAGGAAGGTATGCTTGATTTTATTCTATTGTCTATAACTATTAGTTATTATTTCATTGTTTTTTTTTTTTCTGTATATTTTGTAATTAAATATTGTTATTTATATTTTATTATTTTTAAATTAAAAATATCAATAATGCAAACGAATCAAGCGGCTCGCGAGTTCAAGTTTGACAACAAACTCGAGCCTCTCGAATAAGACCTGCAGTCTAACTATAAACAATCGAATCATATAGCACGACGTATACGTACACCAACTCTCAGAGTATAACAGGTCAAAATAATCAAAATATCAGAGTAGGATGACAAGACTCGAAGATGAACTATCGGAGCAAAGAATCAAAGAAAGAACACAATACCAGAGCCTATGAAAGAACTTGATCAAAATAATGATTCAAAGTGTAAGTACTAATCAGAGCAAACCAAGACCCAGATGAATCTTCATAACAAACCACTACCTATTCCAAGACAATCAGAACTAGAATTTCCATCCTTTTGCATTTTCTTCCCATGTTTCCGATCTAAATGCCAAAAATTCAGCAGTTGTTGCTCCCAAACTCGATTTCTAACAAGAAATGAGAGATGTAGGTACATAAAAACTCAGGGATAGAAAAGGTATAGAATAAGAATAGTAGGAAAGAAGAGAATTCTAGTTGCAAAGAGAGACAATGATATGGATAGTCGGACAAGAAAAATATATGGTTTCATATGAAGGTTCCAACTCACAAATACACTTCACAGTCAAGACGCGAAACATCATCAGATAAGGAAATAAAATCACACTACAAGAAATTGTTAAAATGCCAACAGAAATTACCAACAGAAATATTTCCGTTGAGGTTTACCAACGAATCACCAACGAATTAACAATGCATTATATATCCAAGTTTTTAAAACAGATTACCAACAAAATACTAACAAATTTTGCAATGGAAATAAATTTCTTTTTATTCTATTAGCAAATTATATTAACAACGGAACATTTCGTTGCGAAATAGTACCCAAAATAATTTCTAAGGATAACCAAAAAACCATGCAATATAGTATAATGTACTTAATGCACATT